GAGGCACGGGAGGCCCCTCCGTCCGTCCCTGCCGAGCCTCGGCCGGTGCGGGGAGCGGGGCTGTGCCCGGGGGGACCCCGGGGCGGGGAGTGGGGCCTGCGGGGCGTCGGGAAGGGCCCGTGGGGTGTCAGGCAGGGCCTGTGGGGTGCGCAGCCTGTGCAGCGGCACCGCATTTTAGGGAGGTTTGGGGTTAGGAGAGGGAAGCTGAGGGTGCGAGGCAGAGTGCGGAGAGGTCCCGGGTTACAGCTGTGCCGCCAGGCGCTGGCCGCAGGCAGCCTGGGGTCCCGTGGGGGCTGTGGAGGCTCTTTGGGGCTGAGACACTGTATTTTCCCTCTTAGCTGTTAAATACAGTGGCAGAGACTGGACAGCGCATGGTTGGGTGGACATGGGGTGACAGGATAACGCTGTGCCTCTCGGGCAGAGGAGATGTCCCTGGGGAGGGTGGGAGCAGAGGGCTTGCATCGCTGCTGGAGTAGGGTCCTGCATCGGATGGTGTGATCTTGTGCTGGCACAGGGGCTGATGTAGAGCCCCATCCAGGCTGTGCCATGTTCAGTGCAGGTGGGAGATGGGGTCTGGGAGCAGAGCAGGTGGGTAGTGTGGAGAAAGTCCAGGAGAGCCCAACTTCCATGGCTTTTGGATCTTGGCAGATGATGGTGGCTTTCCCTGGTCACCCTGTGTGTGTGTGTAAGTTGGAGGTGATGGGGAGGGAGTGGCTGGATGTGGAGGGCTGTGCTCCCCACGTAGCACATACATCTTACATAGACATCCTCTGCTTTTTTCCAAGTCCATGATTTATTTCATTTAATTACACAGGTTCTGATGTGCCTCCTTTTCTTCATAAAATAACAGCACTGTTAAAAAATGATCATAATAAAAAAAGGAAACCAGAAAAAAACAGCTGTGGTCAGAGAGATGCTTGCCTAAATTGTGGCAACCATCTGCACAGCCTTGACTGTCTTCTGTCAAAAGAGGTGGGGATGTGCAGGCAGGGGAGTAACAATTTCCAAGAAAAGCAAAAATATGTGTCAGGGTCACAGGGCAGAGGAGCTTTTCTGCCACTCCTGCTGAGTGGTGGTTGAGGGAGTGGGAGGAGACTGGGGACCCAGGGGCCACTGTGTGGTCCAACCAGGATTTGTTTCCACCAGCTGTGCTCACATCTCCAGCCCAGCAGAGGAGGGTGCTGGTGCCTGGTAAGCACCACGGTGGAGCCCAGATCGTTTGGCAGGGGACCTGCTTGGATGGTGGTTGCTGCCTTTTGCTAAAGGGTGTCAATGAGAAGGAAGGGAACCCAATGGGTCTAGGTCAGGGCCATGCAGTTAAATGAATGATTTTATCAAACTGGGTCCTTCATCCTCTGCCGTGCTGTTCCAGTGAGAAGCTGGTGTATCTGCCTGGTGCCACCTTCCACAACAGGGAAGAGAAGGCACGCACTGCTTGCGGAGGTCCAGTGTGTCTGGGACTACCGGCATTGCACACGGGTCAGCTGACCTTGAAGTCTTCATGACCCCAAGTCACACGGGTCCTGTGGACAGCGATTCTTAACTTGTACCAGGAGAGGGGGACATGGTGCTTGTGGTTTTTAATCCAGTTTAATGCTGCAGATGAAAATCAGGCTCGGTTTAATTTCCGGGAGGAGGGCTGTCGGGAGTGAGACTTTGTGCCTCTGAGCTGGGCAGTGCTGGCATGCCACGCGTCCCTGCAGACGTGGCCTCTTCCCCAGGAGTGTCCTGGTGCCCCCACACAGTGTGTTCCAGCAGATCCAGCATCCCCACAGGCTTTGCAGGGATTGTGAGTCCCTGAGGGGATGCAGGTTTGGAGAAGCTCTTGTTTCCAGCACGTTGCTGGTGATGTTGAGCTGGAGGAGAGCAGGGTGAGCCGGCCAGGCTGCTGCTCAATGTACCTGAGGCTGCACAGCTGATGCAGCCCCTAGCTGCAGGGTCAGGGTCACCCCTGAGCTGAGGTCACCTGTGCTCTGCCTGCAGATGTCCAAGTCTCCAGCAGCTCCCACGTGCAGCTTGTCCTTAGCGAACAAAGACTGAACAGCTGAAATGATGTCTTCTCCTTTCCCCTTCCCCCTTTTCTTGATAAAAAATCATGGTTAGAAGAACTAGGCAACTCAGAACTTAGTCTTGGGAACACCCAAGGTACTTTTAAATAGTTTAAAAAATAATAAATTGTTACTGTCTCAGAGACAATAAAACTTAGCCTGGTCAGGTTTCCTTTCAGATCTTTAACATTAAGTGATCACATTTTCTGGCAGCCTTAGGGATGATGGTATAAATCAAGCACAGATACTTTTCCAGTCTGTGAATGTTTTATTATTGAACTCTTGGGCATGGACCCCAGCATAGCTCTCATTTCACCAGAGGTTTTGATGAGCCTATTCTGGTATCTGTTCTGCAGAATGGAGGGAGTTTATCTTTTTGCTTTATTCCTCTCTTGCTGATTGCTCATGTAATTGGGCTGATGTGGCGCTTCAGAAGGAGAATTCAATCTGCTCTTGCAAGATCAATCTGTGCTTCCTGCAAAATCTATTTTTGTTTTTTACTTTCTATGCAGAACAAAATGTCCTGCAGCATCGATGAGTATCTTATCAACACATCTTCCCTTTGTCATTTGGTTGAGCTGTTTGTATTTCATATGCTGCAGAAAATAACCATGACCTTGCTCCTTCAGCTACAGCCGTGACCATCCTGTCCCCGCTTTGCCCAGGATGGGGACTGGTTGCCACAACAGTGAGACCCAAACTGAAGAGTTTGGCTTTGGTTTTGAACTGCAATCCCTTTCCCTTCCTCTCCTCACTGGTAATTTAGTGATGGCTGCTGCCCTTTCCAGTGGCTGGTGACTCCTCCCTGCTCCATCCTGGGGCTGTTGCTCCAAGGCTGGGGTGAGCAGAGGTGATCGTGAGGCTGGTCCTGGCAGGGGTGTGGGAACAGGGGCCAGCTGGAAGCTGTTGGTTTGCTGAGTCTCTGTGAGGGGAGGAGAGGGAAGGGCAGGGGGAGGAAGAGAGCAGGGAAGCATATTTTACTGAGGTGGGTGTTCCCAGGGCTGCAGTGAGCTAGGTTGGTGTGCAGAGTCTCACCCTCACTCTTCCCTGCTGAAAAGGTTTGCTGCCCTGGTGCCAGATCCTGGTGTGGGGACAGCCACCAGCCCAGCAGGGTGCTGGGAGGCTTGGAATCCTCCTCCTGCAGCCCTTTGCTCAGGTCCTTCCCTTCTGTGATGGTGCCATATGTTGGCAAACTGTGTGCTAGGGACGGGGGCTAGGAGTGTTGTGATCTCTAGTGCCTTAGACCTTCTGGTCTGTGCTCCAAGTCTTTTGCAATAGGAATTTCAGTAAAGATGCAAAGGAGTCACTAAGTGCTTGTGGTTTGTTGCGTAAAATTATGCTTATTTTGTTTGCATCAGCATGCAGCACTGAGGTCAAACTGACAGGCCTGTAATTCCCTGGATCCTCCTTTTGACCCTTGTAGCTGGGGCTGACATTTGCCAATCTCCAGTCAACTGGGACCTCTCCAGATGGTAAATGGTGGAAAGTGGCTTGACAAGCACTTTTGCCAGCTCCCTCAGTACCTTTGGGTGTATTCCGTCCAGCCCCACAGACGTGTATATCTGTGTATATCTACTAAAGATAATGAGACTTTGCTTGTTTGGGATGTGGAAACAATGGTCACAAGGCACCTCTTAGAGGTCTCTTGTCCAACCCCTGTTTGGAACAGACCCATACCCAGTCAGATCAGCTATGGCTTTATCAAAGTAAGCTTTGAAAACTGCGAAGGAAGGACATCCCCCACACTTGCCCTAATGTCCAGTTGAACCTCCTAAGCTGCAAGCTCATGGCTGTTTCCTGTTACATCATCTGCTGCTTTAGGTGAGGAAACTGTTGAGCCAAAGAAGTGAAATTAATGTTTTAGTATTGTGTGAAGCATCATCTTTCTCTCTCTGAACTGCCAGCAGTGGGCATTGAACTGGCAGCTTCTGCCTGCTGCCTGAGCTGTAGAAAGACTTAGGAGAAGAGCACAGGATGTTGTCTGCTGGTGTGATTCTAATGTTCCCTTGGGCTTTTTTCTCCTGTTCAGGCTTGTACCACATCTCGCAGAACAAGGTGGCAGTGCTGCTCCTGGCTGGAGGACAAGGAACTCGGCTGGGAGTGAGCTATCCTAAGGGCATGTACAACGTGGGGTTGCCCAGTGGCAAAACCTTGTATCAGATCCAGGCAGAAAGAATCCGCAAAGTGGAGCAGCTCGCTGGCCAGAGACACGACTGCAAGTGTGCCATCCCCTGGTAGGTGACCTGGAGCCACAGACCCTGTGCAGGGCTCTTTGCTTTGCAGTCTTGCCTATGTTGTCTTCTAGAAATCCTTTGCTGGGTGCCAAACAGAGACACATGAGGGAAAAGCCTTTTGTCAGCAGGATGTGTAATGCCAGCAGCTGGGGAGAGTGTGCAGGGATGGGGAGGTTCAGGTCTGTGTCTGCAGATCTGGGGGACTGAGCACTGCCCTTGAGTCACTGACCACTACCCTGACTGCTGCACTGTGCTGTCTTTTCAAGCACAGCCCCTGACAACACTATAAACAGCACTTTCAGTGCCTGTTTCAGATGCTTTGCAAGAAATTTCACCTGTTTGCTCTCTGCTTCCTCAGGTTCCTGCATGGAGGGGAGGGATGGCCTAGACCACACCTTCCAGGCCCTTCCTCCTTTGCCTGCAGTTTCTGCTGCAGCAAAAAAATTCTTCCCTTGTAGCAGTAAATGCTTATCGTGCTCCATTTTCAGGTCATCTCCTGCTGTGGTTGTTTACAGCTGGCTGCTGTCACTCCTAGCTGCTCCTAGTTTTCAAAAGCTTCCAGGCTTCAAAGAGACTAGCTCTGTGCAAGGTGCAAAATGTGAATTTGCTGTAGGATGTGGTGGGTGAGAGAGAGGAAGGTGCTGCAGGATGCTTCTAGCAGTCTTTTCTGCTAAGTTTCCTTTGATTATATATACCTTTATGAAGCTGTCTGGGCTGAGCCACGCTTTGGGAAGAGTGAGATCACTTGTCTGAGGTCTTCAGGGTAGCACATTGTTTTGCAGATTGGAGGTGAAAGGTGGTTTCAGTCCATGTTGTGTTTCTTTCTGAAGCCACGTGTATGTCCCCTCAACTGCAAAGGCACCATCCCTGGGACTGCTGGAAGCCAGGATGGTTTGTTTGCAGGGTGCAACATCTGCTGATCATGTTTAGGGTTCCTCTTCCAGGCTGAGGGTCTCTTGGCTGCTGCAGAACAGGCTGTGCTGTGCTGCAAAGATGGAAATTGGGGCACATGTGACATTCAGTCCGGTGCAAAGGACTGATACCCTCAGCATGGTGGCAGAGGACCCCATGTACCTGTGCCAACTTGTTGAGGTGATAGACAAGTAGACCATGAAGATGACTCTTGGCCACTGTTGAAGAAGGAGTGTAGTGGAGAGAGAGACAGCAGCAAGAGGAAGCTGGAAGGAGAGGAGGAAACAGAGAACCTTAAGAGAAAAACAAATCATGCAGCCATCATGGGAAAAATGCTGCTGTTTGCCTTGGCCACCAGCAAGGTGCTGGCAGACAGAGCTGCTGGGGAGTCACAGCTCATTCCCAGTACCTCATGCTGATCAGTGCTTCCTTGATACTTAACATCAGTTTGACTCTAAGATGAGTGAGGCTGTTGTAGTGTCCTTTGCCTTGTTTTCCAGCTCAACCAGATCTCCAGATGTCATTCACATTTAGGGAATGGCTCTTCTGTCCTGTCTAGAGCTAAGTCTGTGGATTGGGTCATGCACAAGACCCTGTGGGGCCTTCCTGTGGATCACTGCTGGAGGGGAGCTCTCCTGCTCAGTTGCAGGGTACTCTAGTCTCTCTCATTTAACACTCTTGGCTTTCCTCCCTTTTATGTTCCATTTGTAGTTTTCTCTTTTGCTTGTGCTTTCCTCACTCATGGCTCAGCACGCATTCCTGCCCAGGTACATCATGACAAGTGAGTTCACACTGGCGCCAACAGAGGAATTCTTTGTACAACACAACTACTTCAATCTGGACAGATCCAACGTGGTGATGTTTGAACAGAGGATGCTGCCTGCTGTCACCTTTGATGGGAAAGCCATCTTGGAGGAGAAGGGGAAACTTGCTATGGCTCCAGGTACCCTGCTGTTCATTCTTACAAGAATGTAATTAATATATGTTGATAATTGCTACCAGCCATTACCCATCACCCACATGGAGCAGTCTTTGAAGGTCAGTGTTGATGCTTCTGGTCAGTGTGGGAGGGTTCTGTCGAATGTTTCAGGCTAGTAACCAAGAGTGTAGCAATCTCTTCGTAGTTCTTGCTGGAGATTTGTCCACAGCACGTGTTTTTTATCAAAGCTTGAGAGTATTAGCAGGTGAGGAACGAGGAGCATGGGCAGGGCATGAGGTCCCTGGGGATGCTGCCTCCCTCCCTGCTGTGAGCCAGGTTCCCAGTCGAGGCTAACTGCTGGAAATGGATGAAAAAGCAGCAAGATTAACTCTCCAAAACAATTGCAATGTCTCATCTAGTAAAGTTCTCTTAACCTTTACATGGTGAGAGGTCAGGGCCATGGTGCAGTGATGCGGTTTTGTGGCTGCAGGTGCTTTTTGTGGGCTGACAAGGGTGTCAGAGGAGAAACCGTGAAAGGGTGATCTGTGATGAACAAACGGCCAGGTGTCTTTTGTGCAGCTGCACTTCAAGCCTTTAGAAATGCATTGGGAAGTTGCAGGGGGAGATGATCAGAGAGTAAGATTTATTTCTTTTCAGGCTGAGTTTTAAGTAGGTTTTTGCTCTCCACTGGAAGAGGAGAAATGTAACAGGCTTTTCCTACCCTCTGCATAAGATTTTGCCCTCTACTGTTTTCCCTCTTGAGGATCTTAGAAGGCTTCATTAAGTCTCATACCACTTCCCTGTGAAGCTGGTTCCCACAGTCCCACTCTGCAGGCGAGGGAGCTGGTGTGTAGAGGGGAATGGGCTTGTCTGAACTGTGTGACAAGAGCTGGAAATAAAACCTGACAATACTGACTTTTGGCTAGAAAGCACTCCCTGCTCTGCTGTTAAATAAAGTTTGTTCAGGCCTTACGGCTTTTGCTCTGCTAGCCACAAAATACCTACAAAGTCACAATTAGCCAGGGCTTTCTTTTTTATCTTGTCTTATAGATGGCAATGGAGGCTTGTACCGGGCTTTGGTGGATAACAAGATCTTGGAGGACATGAAGCAGCGTGGGATCCAGTATGTCCATGTATACTGTGTGGACAATATTCTGGTGAAGATGGCAGATCCAGTCTTCATAGGCTTCTGTGTTTCCAAAGGGGCAGATTGTGGTGCAAAGGTGAGGTGGTGCTGATGCTGGGCCATTTCCTCATGGGGAGTTATGGTCTGGTTATGCTTGGCAGCTGCTGCCCAAGGTGAGCTCAGATGAAGCTGGGTGTTCAGACCTCTGTTCAACAGCAACTCTCTCCAGGCAGGTTTAGAGGACCTGCTTGCTGCCTGCATTACCTCTGGGATCCCTGCCTGTGGGTTCCTCTCCTCCTTCCAGAGTCCTGTGGAAAATACCCTTTAGTTAGAGCAGGGACTGGAACTGCACAGGAAACTAGGACCTAGAATTACTTCCCGTTGCTGTGCTGCTGTTTGTCTAAAGGCACTTGGGCCATCTAAGAGCAGTTTTGGGCTGGGTTGTGTGTTACAAAAGCACCTTTAAGTCTAACGGAGGCATTTCTTATGCCCTGCCGTGAGAGATGGGGAAAGCCAAACGAGCCTGGTTTTGTCACCCTAAAGCAGCAGGTCCCCAATGAGGGTTTTATATTACTGTAATCCATAAAAATGTTCATTGGAACAAAGAGCTGAAGGCTAATGGCTGCAAACGTTTTCCAGTTAATGACAGGTCCCTTGATAAAAGAAATGCCCCACAATATGCCAGTTTGGTGAGGGACTTTTTAGGATGTTGGGCAGTGGTAGGACTAGGGGGAATGGATCAAAACTAGAGGTGGGTAGATTTAGATTAGACGTTAGGAAGAAGTTCTTCACCATGAGGGTGGTGAGACTTTAGAACAGGTTGCCCAGAGAGGTGGTGGAAGCCCCATCCCTTGAAGTTTTCAAGGCCAGATTGGATGGGGCTCTCAGCAACCTCATCTAGCAGGAGGTGTCCCTGCCTGTGGCAGGGGGTATGGAACTAGATGATCTTTAAGATCCCTTCCAACCCAAACCATTCCATGATTCTATAATCTCTTTTAAGTAATTTATCTTCTGAGCAACTGTGCAATTAAGTGGTCAAGTTACTGGGTTTTATGCCCAGGGGTCGGGCAAAATGTGCTTACAGGCTACTGTGTATACCCCACACTTCCTGTGCTTCCAGGTTCCTGGAGGAGCTGCATGCAAAAGTCCTGTGGGATGATTGGTACTTGGAAGTTGGAGTAGTGCTGGGCTTTTCTTCCCCCAAGTCATAGCCTTCTCTCCTGGGCTGCAGGTGGTGGAGAAGGCCTACCCCACAGAGCCAGTTGGGGTGGTGTGCTGCGTGGATGGCCTCTACCAGGTGGTGGAGTACAGTGAGATCAGCCTGGAGACTGCGCAGCAGCAAAGCCCCGCCGGGGAACTGGTGTACAATGCTGGCAATATCTGCAACCATTTCTTCACAGTTGAGTTCCTGGAGATGGTAGTTCAGTAAGTCCAAGCAGACCTGCCAGGCAGCTGTGCAGCCCAGGAATGCTTCCAAGAGGGGGTATTCCCATTTGCCACTCTGTAGTTTCAGTTACAGGTACTTCCTGCTCTACTCTTCACCTACCCTCTCTTCCAAACAGCTCTAAACAGTCGTGTCCCCTTTCTGACAGCCCTAGCACACCTCTCAGACTGAGCCAAATGAAGAGGTTGTGTGCTTTGCTGTAGCTGAATTGTCTGAGTTATACCAGTGCCTGGACCTTCCTGGTCCTCCAGGTGGCTGCCTTGTGTTCAGGAACACAGTCAGTGATGCAGCGTCATGGGGAGGATTTCCAATGGGAATGTCGCCCATACCATCCCTTTGGACAACAGACGTTGGAGAAGAGGGTGAAGCTGGGAAAGGACTCTGCATCTTGTGGGGAGATGGAGGTGTGATGCTGTGCTCCATCACCATCCCAGTCAGATACCAAGTTGGGCTACCTTTTTACCTCTGCCTGTAATTCCAGCCAGCTGCTCAATCCTCCCTCCCCTCCTGCTTTCCCCTGTCATGTCCTACTGGTGCAGGGAGTGCTGCTGTCCAAGTTACTCTGCTCACAAGTTTTTTCCTGGATGTGACTTGGATCAATTTGGATGAACAGCACCCACAACAGTTGAGAGATGACCCTGAGCAGTAATAAGCCATCTGCTTCCCAGAAGTGTACGACTTTTTTCTAAGTGGGCATGAAGCAGGTGAACTTGTTTCTCCTCCTTTTACAGGAAATATGAGCCCCAGCTGAGGCATCATGTAGCCATAAAGAAGGTGCCCTACATTGACGAGGAGGGAAATCTGGTAAAACCGCTAAAACCGAATGGGATAAAGCTGGAGAAGTTTGTGTTTGATGTGTTCCAGTTCTCTAAGTTAGTGGCAGACATTATTTTCTTTTCTTCCTCCCCTTTTCAATGTTTGAATGACTGTAGGTTGCAACAGACCTTGGCAGGGAGTGCATGGTTTGTGGGTGGCTTGTTAGAAAGGCTGTTGGATCCACACTGGGCTCCAAAGCAGCAGTGACACCGTGGACTCTGCTAGCTGTGATCACCCAGTGCTCGGGCACAGCCGGGCTGACCGCCACTGTGCTCCCAGAACTGTGTTCCAGCTGGGAGGGGAAAAGGGAGGGAAAGGAAGGGAAAGGAACTTGAGGTCAAAGCCAGTGTTTAATACAAGCCTATGTTGGATTATTCAGACTTGCAAGAATTGGGTCTTTCAGAGTTGTGGCTTCTATGGCAACTGCAGCTCTGGGTGCGTTTTTGGTGCATGTTATGCCACGGCTCAGCTCACACCCTTGTGCTTGGAAAACAGGTTGCTTGAGCACTGTGGGGCAAGTTACTTTTGCTATGGGAACTGTCAGGGTTGACTTGTGAAGGCTCTAAAACAGAGGGCGCAGTGCTGCAGTGTTAGCACAGCCAGGGTACTTTGTGTTTTGGGAATGTGGGATTTTAATAATTTAGGAATTTAGCATAAGTGTTCCTATAAAACCTGTTTTCTGAGGTCCTGAATTAAGCAGGAAAGATTGTAGTTTTGGGTTAAGTAAATGGCAAAAAGGCCTCAGGCAAACTGAGTTATCTTTGTCTGGGGATGGTGTGTTTCTTTTTGGAGGATTTACTTCAGGATAGGAAGCTCAAGGTTTGAATAGATCCCTCTTTGCTGATGTGTGTTCAGTACCAAAGGCAAAACCAGTGTGATGGAAACAGTGCTGAGTTCTGGGCTTTGAAAAGAGTCATTTGCAAGCAGTGATTCCTTCTGCTTTTTTAATAATCATGCAAAACCAGCTTGGCAGCTGCTCTTCACATATGGAATGCAGAAACACAGATGCTGCTGTGGATTTTTTAAATTTGCATTCCAGTTTCTGGTAAACAGCTATACTTAACATTCAGCTGTGAATCCTTCTGTATTGCTTGTTCATCCCTGGCAGCTGGTGTACTCAATTGATCCTTGCCTACAGACTGCCGAGTGAGTCTGTTTCTTGGAGCAGGGTGTGGTGCTCTGAAGGGAGCCATGCAGCCTGGCTCTGTTGCTGAGCTTCAGGCGTCACTGATCTCTCCATCCTGCCATACTCTGAGCCAAGGCTTTTGGTCCATCTGCCTCCCAGTGCCTTCAGAGATCCCACAGAAACCTCTCCAGAACTGTTGCTTTTCCTCTCAGCTGTGCACAGCTCTGGAGGGCTGTGAAGCTGCTGTTACATTCCCAGAGAGACTGGGCTTGTTGTGTGTTTCTATCATATGGCCCTGGTACTTTGCTCTTCACACAAGAGCTGGGCTTTCATTACCTTGACTGCCCCAGGTTGCATACAGTGCTGGTCCCTGAAATATAAGTGAGCCCTTCCCCATGGAAGAAGTTGTTGCATCAACAGGGCTGATGGAATAGTTTTGTTTTATGTTATTGTTATTTTCTCCCATTCACCAACAGGAATTTTGTGGCATTTGAAGTTTTGAGAGAAGAGGAGTTCTCACCATTAAAAAATGCAGACACAGCTGACCAAGACACTCCTACCACTGCTCGGCAAGCCCTCCTGGCCCAGCACTACCGCTGGGCTCTCAAGGCTGGGGCCAGATTTCTGGATGAAAATGGTTGTAGGATACCAGAGAAACTCAGGTATGATGTTCTATGAGCTCCATAGCCTTTTTGCCTGTGGCTGCCCCACCGTACTGGCTGGCATGCCTGCAGAACTGGGCATTAGTCTGGTCACAGGGTGACTCAGCAAGATTTTCATTCAGCTGGTCTCCTGAACCCAGTCATGTCCATTATAGCTCTTGCTTCAGCAGTGCTCATGAGCATTCTAGGCAGCAATGCACAGTGCTCTGGGCTTTATCTCTGGCAGAGAGTCCTGCCCTTGGGCTTGAATCACAGAATGTCAGGGGTTGGAAGTGACCTCTGGAAGTGACCCCCTGCCAGAGCAGGACCAAATCTAGGACAGGTTACTCAGAAATGCATCCAGAGATGCATGTTGAGAGATTCTTCCTGCAGAACCTCATTACGCAAGGACAACCTTCTCCACCATTCTGGGATTAGCCAGGAATTGTAGTTTGTAGTCCTCTCCACTTTTCTGAATATGTCCCCAGCACGATTCTCAGGTGGGCTTAAGGATCAGCTGTTACAGCAGTTATGAATTCCAGTGTTTCCTCCATCAGACTGAACAGCAACCTGCTTGTACTCCATGGGGCTATTACTGTATCAACTCATAGTTTAATAAATGCATGAGCTGTTAATTTTACTTGACAAGCACCTCTATAAAAGTGATGTTCTTGTTTTGATGGGAAATATTTGGGACCTGCTCATTTCCTTTTATATTCACACTTTATGTTTGAATATAATAAATGTCTTATCTTTCTGGATATTCTGTTCTTGATGATCTTTTAAAGAAGATGCTTTGTTTTTTAAACATAGCAAGATGTTAATCCTGTGTTCTCTTCTCTAGTCTCTCAGGAACTGATGATCCTCCAGCTGTGTGTGAGATTTCTCCGTTAGTGTCTTACTTTGGCGAGGTGAGAATAGCTGTCTGGAGATATTTTTAAGAGTGTGCAGGTTTGCCTCTGATTTCCTTCCAAACACAGAGGATTTATTTGGCCTGGGCTTACTGAGAAAGGTGTTCATAGAACTTCACATCTTGCTAGGTTTCTGTGTGCAGGTAGTGAACCCATTGCAGCTGATGCACTGTAAGTACAAAATGAAAAAAAGGCAATTTAAATTAACTTTTCTTTGCTAGGATTATTCTAATATGAATTAAGGACACACCTACCATGCCTGCCCCTTCCCAGGAAGATTGTATCTAAGATCCCTTGTTTTATGGTTTGTGGGTGTCTCTCCTTCATGAACCCCAGGCTCAGGGCTGAACTGCTTTCCATCTCTGTCACTGGGAAACTGCTGCTGTTGTCTGTCCTTCCTTTTAACTTTGGGCAGCCAGTTTTTCTCTGAGGACATTATATAGACTTAAAAATAGTGCAAGTAACCAGTATGATGCAATTCCAACCTAACAGTTCTGTTTTTACATGTTCTCAGGGTCTGGAGACATACATGAAGGACAAAGACTTCCTTTCTCCCTTTGTACTCGATGAAAACAAAGTGGAGGTGCTAGGAACTTCTTGAAGAGGAGGGAGGACTTTCCCCCTGAAGACAGATATCTGTCTGTCAGATCCATTAGAAGAAATGACATTGCTGAAACGTCAGCTATGAAGTGCATTATAAAAAAATTACTTTGCAGTTTTGAATTGATACCAAATCCTTGCAGCAGTTGTGTTTCCACACACGTACAGGCTCACTGGTTCTGCTTGGTGCCTTGGAAGACTGTGCCTTTTTTACCTCAATCTGTTTTGTAGACTTGGATGTGAATGAAGATTAATACCTTCTGTGTGCCAAACAGGTTTTATATTTCTTATTTGCTACGCATACAAATATATAAAAGAGCCAGTCAGGGCCTAATAAATCAGCTTTACATTCAAGAAGATGAAATCTCTTTAGTGCCTTGTTAGGTATCTTGTATGTGCTGGTGGGGTTTTGTTTGGTTTTGTTTTTAAATTACATGCACAGCTGAAGAATCAGTTTGAGGTCCTATCATGAAAAGTATGGGATGACTTTGTGTACTGCCTTTTTCTGCATAGATCCGTCCTTTTCCCAATCCTGTGAGGATTAGAAGAGCGGGTTCAGCATTTCTGTCCTCCAGCCAGGTCAGAGAGAGGAATCTGCTGTTGGTGGGTATGCTCTCTCTGTAGGCATCACTTGAGGTTTGGACTCCAAAGCAGAACAGACTGTTTTGCTTATTCAGGCTTGCTGGTGCCATTCCAAGAAAACATAATATGCAGCTTAGACTGATTGCTTTTTACAGCTGTACTGACCTGTTTGTTTTTTTTCTTAAGACGATATTTTTTTTCACAACTGTCTGCCCTTCCTGTCTGTAACAAACATTTCTTTTACTTCTCATTTTTTCTGTTTTAATGTATACCAAATCCCTCAAAGAGGACTTTTTAAGTACCTGAAAGAAACAAGAGGAACAAATCCTGAGGGAGTTTAATGCTTAATGAAAACAAAATAAAAGTATTAATCCCAGCATAATCAGTGTGCGTGGTAAAACACCAGCCTCTGCTTCTACAGTTTCTGGCCAGATAGTTTTCCAGCCCTCCTTCACATATGAAGTAATTATTTGGATACTTTCCTTTTGAAGATGTTACTAACCATAGTGTCAGCTAATTAAGGATGGTAATTGCCAGAACATATGATTTTATGTGAACTGAGCCCTGACTGAGGACTGGCAGGGTGGCTGTGATCCCCTCCAACCTTTGGACTGCTGAGCCTGTGCTGAACCCACCCCAAGTTGTTCCACCCCTGGTGAGGGTGCTCCAGGTGCAGTGCTGGGCAGCCTTCCTTAAGGAGCACTTCATACTTCTTCCCTAAATCCAGTGTTAGGGAAGGTGATGAGCAAGCTGCCTCATTTAGAATGTTATTTCATGCACCTGCTTCTGCTGAGGAGTCGCTGATGCTATTTTATTAAGCATAAATCTTTTAAATCTCTTCTGTGGCTTTTGGTAATTCCTGACATGAAGCTGTATTCAGCATGTCAGGGAAGTATGAAAATGGGAAGGCTTGTGTTTTCCAAAGAAAGCGTCTAAATGCCAATCTAAACAGAGTTTTCAGGTATAAAGTGTCTTCACATGCACGCAAGTAATGAGCCTTTTGCACATGCAAACGAGCTAATGACACTTCTGATGACCTCACTTTGCATGTGCAGCAATTCCCATCTTTAATAGAAGTAAAGCATCTGTCCTTGATGTTCAGGTCTGTAATGGTTTTTGGACGGTGTTTCTGTGGGTCGTTCCATTCCCGTCAGTCAAGGTTTACATCCAAGAACGGTCTGTGTTGTGTCTTCGAGAACACGGCTTGTGAATTCAGGCACCCACTCCTTTTGAATTGCACTGTGCCATAAAGAAAGGATCTTTATTTTGCTCTTTTAAAAGTGCTTTTTCTTTTGAAACTTCAATTCCCATGTGCTTTAATCATGTGTACACTGAGCTGCTGACAAGGTTTTTAGAGGTTGTATTCAAGGAGAAGACAATTTAGAATGCTGGGTGCCTTGTCTGTTGAGGTTTTTTTCTATGGTTCCTCACGTTTTAAACTGGAACAGAGAATTTTGAGAGAACTTAAAATAAATTAATCTGTCCTGTATGTAACAAAATAATTCTAATATGTGTTACAAAATAAAAAAATGAGACTTTTGGACACTTAAGCATTTTTATAATAAAGATGTGACTGATTTCTATGTGTCTGTCTCTGTTTTGTGTTCATGAGTAAAATGCACTTGTCTTTGTACTTACACAGACGTGGCCACTAGAGCTGCAGGACACAAGACAGTGTCACTGATGGCATGGCTGGGGCTGCCATGCCCACCTTTCCATGTGCAGGGGATGTGGAGCTGCATAGAGGGTCATTCCCAAAGGAGTTTGACATTGTGGGATGTATTTTTTCACCTCAAAACAGAAGACAGTTTTTGGCCAGCAATTCTGTTAGGTTTGGGGATTGCTTGGTTTTTTTCCAAGCTTTTCATCTCCCTGTACTGAGGGGAGGGGGAGTTTCATTGTGGGTGGTGTGTGTGTGTTTATTTGAAGAAGATCTGAGTGATCTGGAGCTGAGTCAGGCTTTCACAGTTGCTCTGTAGGTACCGAGCACTTGTCATGCAGCCTTTGCTTGGCTTCCACTGGGCACTTTTCAAACAGGGCTCTATAGAACCATCAGTAGGGAAGTTAGTGATTTTTTTACAAATGACAGATATTTTCTCTCTTTTAGGGGTTTAGTGCTGAACCCAGCAAAGGTCAGAAGTAGATATTTTTCCTTCCTTACCTACTTCCTCCCATGTTTTTCTTTTGGCACCCATGTGAAGGTTGCTGAGGTTTTTTTATGGGTTTCAGAGCTACATGAATCAGTGGTTTCCTGTGCTAGGAAAATAAATGCTACAAATGAATGCATTTCTCAGGCTTCTGTTAAATTGTTCTCTGTTGTTGATGAGTGTTCATATCTATCAAAATTGCTTGCTCATTTCTTTTTAATTCTGAGATGCTCAGGAAAAATCCCATTTTCAGTTTTATCTGGAGATCCAATGTGAGCTGGATTTCCAAGTTAAAGGCTCAAATGATGCAGGTTTACTAGTTGGTCACAGCCAAAGGTGAATTCAGTGCCAGCTCTTAAAGCAGCTGCTTCAACACTTTCCTTCTGTTTGGACTACAAACCGGATCTAGAAGTAATGGTGATTAGAAAGCCCCAGTCCTGTGGTGTCCATCACTCTTCCCTACCCTCTACTTTCACCATCCCTCCTCCACCCTGTGAGGAGACTGAGACGTGTTTGCACAGGAAGTGACAAAGGGCTGGGGCTTTGTGAAGAAGTGGATGAGGGAAGGAACTGACAAGCAGGTCCTGCTGAGAACCAAAATTCAGTTCCAGATCTTGTGAAGGGTTTATTTACACAACAGCTTGGGTTGCTTTTCACCCACTCACACGCATCCTCTCGCAGATTTCTGTTCTCTACTCTGAAGCCTGTGTTCCTGGTCTGCCCAGGGTTGTGTGTGTGACAAGGACAGCTCTTCTGTCTCCTCTTGGAGTCAACAGTTGGGGTTTTTCTTTGCCATGCAGGCTGGCTGGAGGAGCAGTGGTGTCTGTGGCACCCCATCCTCTCATCCGGGCACTGTGTCTGCTGGTCATTGAGTTGTTTTTCCTGATGACCTCCCACGTGCACATTTCCATTTCTGTTTCTTTCACACCAATACTTCTGTGACTGGTCCCCGTAACATCATCTCAGAACAGAGAGGAAAAGCGAGGGCTCTCAGCCTCTCCTTACTTTCCACCTCCCAGCTGCGCTGGCTGAAAACCTGGCTGGGCAGGGCCTGCTAGGTGGCGAGAGCAGGCAAAGCCACGGCCAGGAAGCGGAGGGAGGGAAGGAAATTATGCCCCAGTCCTCTGCCCGAAGGAGGTGCCGGTACCGGACGGCTGGTGGCCTTGCTTGGCCGGGGAACACGCCTGCTCCGAGCGCTGCAGCCCCCGCGGTGGGGGCTGAGGCCGGGCGGTCCAGGGCGGCAGAGACGACGGTGGCTGCCGCCTCCCTGCCC